CCTCCCCGTGGATGGGCTCAGGGCAGCTCCCATAAGCGGCACAGTATGGCCAGTAAACATAAAACAGTTAAAACAGTTTTAAAAATCATACAATAACATTTAAAATGTTCGCAACAATTATCCATCAGTAAGTTTAGGTAGCATACTAAAGATAACATACTAAATCCCGACTTAGTGGTCTTCTGGTCATCCACGGCATTTTGGTCTGATCTCCATATAGGGCCAGTCCACTAACCACAAATATTGATATAATAGTTGGTGGTAGTGGTGGGGAGCTCCTAGCTGAAGGCCTGGTGGAAGAGCTCCGTCTTACAGGCCCTGCGGAACTGTACAAGGTCCCACAGGGCCCTGATCATCTCCGGGAGCTCATTCCACCGGAAGAGCTGCTAAACTTCTAAGATAGTTGGAACAGAATTTGAGGACTAAGTGTTCTGTTTTTCTTTGCTGTCATGGATGCTTTACAAGTAGTTCAAGAGGAGATGAAGGGACCAACTTCCTATGTACATTTGCTTACAGTCAAGGTGGGAATATATTGTACGATCTGGAAATCTGGTAGGAATTTGAGATTAGATTTGTGGTGTCTGAGAATCTTTAGCACACTCAGGTTCCAGATGAGTGTAAATCTGCTGTAGCCAAAATAAATTATTTCTGGCATCTTAAAGACTGAATTTATTGCAGTATATGTTTCATGAGCTAAAACCTATTTCATCAGTGTATAACTAATTGGTAAAGAGGTATCTTTAGCAGCCTAAATAGTCCAAACTAGCCTTAGAACTTGGAAGCTAAGCAGGGTTGACCACGGTCAGTAGTTGTATGGGAAACCACCAAGGAAGACATGTGTTCCTACACGGAGGAAGGCAATAGCAAACCACTTCTGTTCATCTCTTGCTGGACTTCATGGATTTGTCATGAGTCAGCTGTGACTTGATGGCACCCTTAAAGAGTTGTCTAGAGCTACACGTGGCAGAAGGGGTTGGAGTTATTACATGAGCGGGATATAAATTTAATACAATAAATATGAGATTGCACAGATGAAAACAGAATCCAGTTCAAAGAGTAAGCAACCCAGTTTGAGTGGAAGTGAATCTGAAGAGTATACATGACACATAAAGCTCCTTTATACTGGATCAGACTATTTGTCACTCGCCCTCAGTGTTGTCTGTTCAGACTGACTGCGGCTCTCCAGGCTCTCAGGTCTTTCACAGAAACAGTTTCAGTGGGAAGCCCTAGCTAAAAGCTGCTCAGATGGAATCCATCTGCAGACTTGGTATGGTTAGCCTACTACTCACTAGGGTTGCCAACTGCTGGGGGGGGGAAATCTCTTTAACAGAGGTTTTAATAGGCTGTTTAGCAGGTGATTTACCTCTGTGCCATGAAAAGCTTCAGCTGTCCGTTTCAACAAATAAGCTCTGATAAGGTTTCTCCAGGCCTGTTGGGAACCATATGAAAAGCTTCAGCTGTCCGTTTCAACAAAATAAGCTCTGTTAAAAGGATAAGGTTTCTCCAGGCCTGTTGGGAAACCATGCATAGTGCAGAAAGTAATTTTTTAAAAATTTATTTTATGTTTATCCTGCCTCTCACCCCAAAGCAGCTTACACCAGTCTCCTTTCTTGCGTTTTATCCCCAAAACAACCCTGTGAGGTAAGTTAGACTGAGTGTGTGTGACTGGCCCAAGGTCATTCAGCAAGCTTCCACGGCACCCCTGGAGATTCAAACGTGGATTTCCCAGATCCTCATCCAACACTTCAGCCACTACACCATGCTAGTCCTCCTTACTAGGTTATGCTGCTTTACTAATTCATCAGCAGTTGGGAGTAGTCCACACTCCAATAGGATTGTTCATTTGTTGTACTAGATCTTGTTTTCATGTGTGCTTTGCAATATAACAAATTCTATATCCTGAAAAACAGCCTTCTGACCTTTGAAATAACTCACTCCTTTCCCCTTTCTGTTGTTAATATAAATCTTTCTGCCAACACTTCATGCAGCTGAGGAAATGGGTTCTGGTTCACAAAAGCTTGTGCTGCAATAAATGTGTTGATCTTCAAGGTGCTATGGAGACTCTGTTGATCTAGTGACCTTTGTGATAACAATTTATAGGGCATTGTGTTTAAGATATGTATGTTGTGTCTTGTAGTCAGGGTCTGCCTAATCAGAGACAAACTAGGCCAGTGCCTGAGGTTCCCAAATTATATAGTTAAAGTGGAAGTGTGTGGTAGAGAGCAGCTGCCTGTACTTATGAAGAAGGCACATAGAGCAATGTAGTACGTGTACATACTGTGTAAAGGATACTAGGATTAAGTTAAGGTCAACAGTTGGAGTTGTTTAAGCAAGGTCCCAGTCTTTTCGACTGCTGCTTGCTTATGGGAGTGTTGAGATGTGTTCCAAGATACATATTCTAGGTTATGGACAAGATCTATCAGTCGCCAGTTCAAATGGTATGTTGCAGAAAATGGGATGATTTGCATAAGTACAAATGGCCAGTCTAATGGGTTAACTTGCCCAAAGAGGCATTTAGGAAAGTGTCATGCATATTTTGGATCTTGAGATTCAAAGGGATTTATTTGCGCCATGAATTTTAATCTTGGAATATACATGTGAATGGGAGCCATTGCTACCAGCCTATCTAGACATGAGACTGACAGAAAAGCATCCAGCATGATTAAAAGTACTGGAGAACTAGAGTTGTCATTTCCTCCAGGGAATCGATCTAAGCAGTCTGGAGAGCAGTTGTAATTTGGAGAGAACTCCAGTCTCCACCTTGAGGTTGGTAAACCCTATACAGAACTCAAATGCTTGCACATGGTTTTGTATAATTTTGGTTGGTGTAAATAAAATGCATTACGTGGCTTCTGTTAATGTGAGAAAGAATGTTGGGAGTGGGGGAGAGTGCCTACCAGCAGCAGCCCTTGGAGGGAGAAGGAAATCTTGCATGTGTCATATCTCCTGAGTTTTATTTTCCCCTCTTGCCCACCATGAACCGTAAAGCACACCCAAGTGTCAACATAACAGAAACACCACTATTTTCCCCATTTGTTTTAATTATAACTGTAGTAACAAATGCAGCTTTATTTCACTTTTTAATTCATTAATAAATGCACATCCCTGTTTTAAACAGCTGTAAACAATCATTCCTTCTGTAGAGAACTGTAGGAACTATATGGGGGGATGGGGGGGAGACCTAGGAGTATTAGGACTTCTAACAGTTTTCATGGCACAGTAACCAACACGCAGTTCCCAGGATTCTGTGGGGGAAAGCCTCAACAGTTAAACCAGCACAAAACTTCTAAAAAGTGTGTATTGTTTGAGTATCGCTAAATTGCATGTTTGTACATATGGAATACAGGGGAGGCAGGAATTCCCTATCTCCTTATGAGTGGCAGCCAAACAGCATTTTAAGATCTGCTATTCTGGATAGTGAAAGATCTGGATAATCCATCTGCTATGGTATTTGTGTTAGTCTGCTGCAGCATGAATAAATCTTATGGTAGCTGAGGAAGTGGACTTTGTCTGACAAGAAATTACGCTGCTATAAATGTTTAATCTGCCGCTGTCCTTGGGTTGGGGAGGGGTTGTTTTGTTTCTTATACAATGAACTTTGGGGACAAAATGCTTAAATCTTTAAAGCTAAATAGTGAAGGACTGGTGTTTCTAGTTTAATGAGAAATTAATGACAAAACTGCTTTTTGGACTTTAGCTGATAAAAAGTGAAAAATACAGAATCACAGGTTATTATGCCAGTATAAAAAATGCCATCACGTTGCTGCAGGCTTAAGGCAACCCCATGAAGGGGGTTTCAAGGGAAGATATGAGCAAAGGTGGTTTGCTGCGTCTTCCTCTGCATGGCAACTGACGCTGCTTAGCTCAGGCTCGCAAGGCCATTCAGGCTCCTCTGACTGCCAGTATACTCCTAAACAATTAAATGCTTCTGGATCCATTGAAGTCAATGGGCTTAAATGAATGTAACCCTACTTAGGATGGCACTGTGAACATATACCAAATGCTTTACTTTACAGATAGAAGCATGGTCTACCTCTCTGAATTAGGGTTGCCACAGGTCACCAGCTGGGGACTGGGGGAGTACAGAAGCACTATGTGGCACCTGGGTAAGGACAGAGAAATAGGGATGGGAAGACATTTCCCAAGGAGTTGTGCATTTGTCTAGCAGAAGATACTGCCAAACCTTGGGCTTAATAGTGAGTGGGAATAGGTAGGCCATTACAGAAAATAAGTGTTCTCCTATAGCTGCTTTTGTACAGTATTCTGCAGTCAATTCATTGTCAGCTAGAAGTGAGTCACGCCTATTTTGACTGCTTCTGACGCTCTTTTTTCCCTTTGACCTCTGTACGGTAAATCGACACACCTAGCAGTTATACTGCTGAGCCTTCTTCCCTCATTTTGTAATAACATTTCCCTGCCAACCAGCGTTCCCTCTAAGCTGAGTTATTGTGAGCTAGCTCAGTTTTTTAGCCTCCAGCTCACACCTTTATCTTAGGCTCAGGAAGGATGGCTCCAGAGCAAACTAATTTATGCAGTAGCCAAATCGCTCGCTCACAACTCTAATGCCAGTAGCTCACAAAGTAGAATCTTTGTTCACAAGACTCCACAGCTTAGAGGGAGCATTGCTCCCAACCTATTTCAGTGTGTACGTGAGAAAGAAAGAAACTGAGGACACCCTTCATTTAATAAATGGACTCTAATCCTCCCAAAGTACTTATGCCATAAATCGTTTTTCTACCGTGCTCGAAGGCTCTGTGAGCAAGCTGATCGCGCCTAAGCAGCAGCACTACCAGAAGGGCCAAGCGACCTTTCGACGCAACCTTTCCTTCCCGCCCTCGGAGGAGGAAGAGACACGGCACGCAAGCGCAGACTCTTCTCCGACCTTCCTTGCCGCTTCGCGCTCTCCCTGGCTCCTTGCGCTCTGTTCCGTTTCGGCCGCCGTAGCCCCTGCTAGTGGAGCCCGTGCAGGCCTTCTACCCCCTCCCTCTCCTGCTCTGAGAGGAAGAGAAAGGCAGGGACGGGACAGGAGTCGGATTACAAGATGGCGGCCGCGCCGCGGTGGTAGTCGCTGTTGCTGCTGGTCCGGTAGAAGAGGAAAGGAGGCGGCGGCGGGCCCGGGCGCCATGAAAAGCGGCGTATTAAAGGCCTCCTGAGAGACTTCCCTTGCCCCTTTTCCCCCGGCCGGACCGGGCCCCCACCATGTCGGACACCCGGCGGCGGGTGAAGGTCTACACGCTCAACGAAGAGCGGCAATGGGACGACAGGGGCACCGGGCACGTCTCCTCCACTTATGTGGAACGCCTCAAGGGGATGTCTTTGCTCGTCCGGGCCGAGTCGGACGGTGAGGAGGGGAAGAGTGGGTAATGGGGCCAGGCAGGCCTACCCAGCTGTTGCCTGCCTGGCTGGGACAATAGAGACCGGCAGCAAGGGGAGGGTAAATGGTCTCCGAGCCCATGGGTCAACCCTAGGCAGAATCGGCCCCCGGGCCCCCACTCTTGAGATCCACCCGTAAACGGATGGGTTAGGAGGAGGTAGGCTTCCCTAAGGATGTGTTTATAATCTCTTTCTCTCACGCACGCATACGTGCATTCTTCTCACCTTAAGCAAAGGTGTAAATCCTGAGGTATTGGTCGTAACCTTTTCCCCCAGAAGTTCACAGACAGCTTCCCCCAAGGTACAATCAGCAACCCCGTACATTGTACTTTTCTTTAATACCCAGAGGAAAGTGGCTTTGTTGAGATCATCAGATGATTTTTCTTCTGTCCAATATATTTGTAAAAGTTACTAGGCCACCGGACCACACATGTTATCTGTATTACTTGGTGTTAGAGAACCAAATTTCAGTTTCCTACCTGGTCACCTGAAAGCATTATTTACTTACCATAGGTGATGGGGAGAGTAGCATTTTAGAGGCCTGTTATAACACTGTGATGCTGTGCTTTTCTCTTTCCCAGGAAGTTTGCTTCCAACCTTCCCACTTGTATCCTGTCCAGACATGCATTTATCTTGAGAATTTCCCTATTGATTGCTCCACTTACAGAAAGTTTTTTTTCTAAAGTTTGTGCTTAGGACAGAAATAATGCAAACGTAATCCATGTTTTATATATTGCTCTGTCAATCCCAAAGATCTGTACAGGAACATGTCACTTTCCCCGGTATCTGTCAGTTTTCTTGAATTAACCTAATGATTTTTGATGTGAGACCCACTTCCAAACTTACTGTACTTCTCAGCACCCATTTGCAAAGTAATTTTGTGCTACTTTTCCTCTCCCCAGCATTATATGCGGGAATCTCGCATCAGTTAACATTGAACAAGGTTATATATTATTTTTCCCATTATTTATAAATCTGTAGTGGTATTAAGCAACAGGTTGTAATTCATGGATATTGTACACATAGTCCAAACCTAAATTTGCTATGGAGTCTCCTGAAGTTACCTTTTACAGCTTGCCCTGTTCTTTCTCTCTCATGCCCTTGCGACCCATCTTCCAAATAATCATAAACCACATTTTGAGCCTCTAGATTAAACTAGCAATGCAATCCAAAACGAAGTTATTAAGTACATTGACTTTAACAAAATTACAAGGATGTAACTGTTTAGAACTGTACTGTACATTACTTTCTTGTGAAAAACTATTGCCTGCAGTGAGGAATGAGACGTTTCTGCTTCTTTCTCTTTTTAGAATTACTCCTTGTGCTGCGTGATACAGGAGTAAGAAAATCTCACTGTTTTGTATAGTATATGAAACACTTCTAAAATTGTCTTCAGGTTTTGAATATTTGTGCTTTTTCAATGGTGAAAGAAAGTAGGGAAATACTTTTATTGGTGAGAAAGGCTATTCTTTCAAGGTGCAAAAAATTAATTGAAAAGGTTTACTGTTGCAGTATTTTTGTAGCAAGGGTTTAAATCTTACTGTGTCGTGTTGTTACCTTTAAAGATCAGGAAAGCTGTTTTTAGAATAAAATGTATTGGCAGCACTGCTAACGAACAGGTGTTAATGTGCTAAATAAACCTTGTGAGGGCTGGAAAAGATTACTCTAGAGCGGTTGCCTCGCTACATGTGCTGCTTAGACACACACATAGTACAGAGTTTAGGCTTTCAGAGTTCAGTGTTCTGAAAGTACCGCAGCACAAGGGTTTGTTAGCTCTTGCATGGATAAATTAATTTATATGACACTACTTGCTGAAGATAGTAATTTGGTATTTATTTTATTTTGAACATCTCCCAAATGTAATGTTTTAGAAAACAGTTGCAGAAGAAAGTAGATGCGCTTTTACATTTTGTTTTGATCTCTCTTATTGATCTCTCAGTTATTGTTTTCACTGTGCTCTAAGTATTGCAGCTTTGCTAAGGTTTCTAATCTGAATTTCTTGTCAACTTTTCAGGTTCGCTCTTGTTGGAATCGAAGATAAATCCAAACACCGCGTATCAAAAGCAGCAGGCATGTACTAGCTTCTTGCTATGATTCTGTTTTGTTATTGTTGAACAAAGAACCAGAGACTTGGCATTTTCTGCGGTGGCAGAATATATCAACTAGAGTCATGCTTTATTTTTAGGGTTTTTAAGATTTTTTATATAGGAAGGAATCACTTTTAAAGCTCTTATTAATCCACTGGATTTTTATGTAAGGCAATGGAGGGGTACGTTTGTGCAGTTTAGAGAATGTATATATTTTGTTTTTGCTATTAATATTCAGGAGTCTGAAACGCCGGATCTGATACGGAGTTCTCCATCATAGTGGATTTAATTGGCCTGTGATCTGCATTTTGCATATCACTATCCTAGAGATCTTTCATTTTATTTAACTTCTTGATCTGTCGCTTCATGGAAGCTACTGCAATAGAGTGGAATTCCTAGAATGAGAATAGTAGTTTTTTTCTCTGATGGAGAGAGGCACCTTAACAATATCTTTATTCCAGTAACATTCTTAGGAATGGAGAGTTCAGTGGTCAAGTTATGTGATGTTCTTTAAGTGAGGTGCCAAATGTTTTCACTTTGATCTCTCTAAGCCTATTGGTCAGTAGACTTAGAAAGTGCTGCTTAGGATGGCGCTGTAAGAGTGATAAGCATTTGGAGGGATATGGCCTAACTTGTCTAGCACTGTCAGATCAGACCCTCAACAAGGCTAGGAGAAAGTATTTCTCAAGATGATCATCAGTCAGATCTCAGAAAATTAAGGACTGTTCTTGTATTCAGGAAAGTAGTAGAGGTTTAGTAATGTGTTAGACTGTGAAATACAGGGTGACATGGAAGAAAATTTATAGCTGAAGATTTACAAGCCGTATCTGTTTCAGTTTGTTATGCAAGGCATTTTCTGAAGACCGTAACTTAGGGACAGTTGTGGGCTTCAGTTTTGTGCCCGGATCTGGAGGAGGTGAACATGCTTCTGTGCTTTGGGGGAATTCAGTTGACTTCATTAGTATCCTTGCTGATAGTGGAATCTGTCTTGTAAGGCACTGATTGCAGGATCAGGGTTGACATAACTAAATCCAAAGAAGATTGTAGCAGTTTGAGAATGAATCCAAATTACACATTGACTTGTTACCTCTTTTGGTATTGGCTTATATATTTGAACTTTGACATCTTGGGACAGTGTACAGGAATAATTAGTTCTGTGTAGTGGAAAGAGTTGGTGCCCCCCTTTTTCACTGTGTCTAATTTTAACATTAGAACTTTGACAGCTGCCTGTTAGATACCATTTTACATGATGCGTTTACAGTGTTTTTTATAATTATATTTTTATTGAGTATATATTTCACATTTTATAAATGTATTTCATACTCATATGTTTACTCCATTTCATAATTTAAACAAAAAATGAGGTTACATTCCCTCTATATAACCAACAAATTAAACTTAATCCAGATCCCGTTTGTATCCTCTTCTTTTTCTTATTCCCATATCCTACCCACATATAATCCACCATACAACTCCTTCTAAATCACGTTCTGTCTGTTAATACATCCTTTAATTCTTCGATAATTTGTTACTCATTCTTCTAACTTATGTTCTATACGCTCAGTCTCTATTATTATTCTCTCTTCTATGCATTTACAGTGTTAATACTAAATATAAAACAATGTTTGCTCTCCACCTAAAAAAGCTGGAGCATTCCTAAAGAAGAAGGGAAAAGGACCACTATTCTGGGTTAACTACCTTCCAATCTCACAACTGACATATTTCCAGCACTCCATCACACTTTAGGGTGACCAGGAATTGATCCAAGCAGGTAGAGACAGGTTTTATCCTTGGTGGCTAGACTTCTTTATTAAATTTATATTCCTTGTTTCTTCCAAAAAGCCTAACAGTGCAGTTCTAAGCAGAATTACTTCGGGATTCACTGAAGTCAGTGGGTTTAGAAAGGCCTAACTTTGCTTAGGATCTCAATGTAAAACTACCTAGGTCTGTGGGGTACTTTTTGGTACTAACAACATGGTAAGTTACCATCTCAGCTTTTTTCAGTTTCGTTTCTGTGAAATGGGTACATTGATGGCCTCCTCCATGAGGCTGGAAGAACCGTTCAATGAGCAAGCATTTTACTCTCATGCATGCTTTGGCTAGTATTAAATAGCATGTTTGTGGTCTTTTACACATAAACCCACAATCAAAAAGAATCTGTGTTGTACTTGTTCAGGTGTTGTAGAGAGCTGAATTCACATCACTCCTCAGCCTTGGGCACGTTTCTGTTAAGATTGCCAACAGCCCTGGTGGGAAGTGCCCTGTTCCTTAAGTAGACGTTTAGTATGTGGAAATGGGCAGCTTGAACTTTTTCATGACATGGATGTAAATAATATCACTAAGTAGATAACATTCCATTATGTTCCTGTTAAAGGGACAGGATATTTTTTCTCCAGGCAGTTGGCAACATTAGTCCCTGTCTCACAGGAGTACTGTAAGGATGAAATGTAAATTCCTATGAGCTCCTTGGAGAAAGGAAAAGATAAAAATATAATGATGTTTTGCAGGAAAATATAAAAATTGTGCCATTTCTGATCTCATTCTGAAAATGTTTTAATTGACAGTCTTCAGTTATATGTCTTCATTTTAACAACTTGTATTGGCATTTTAACATTGCAGGTTACAAATATAAAAGATGCAAAAAAGATATAAAATGCACTTTCAAGACTGTATTGTCGTCCATTTAGTGTTCCTTTGAAAAGACTGTACATTGGAGAATTAATGTTGATAATGAATAGCTTGTATGGATAATCATGAATGAAGGGGCATGTTAAGAGCTACTCCTTGGCAGCTAACAGCTTTTTAAAAGCACCCTCTTTTGGGTCGCATTCAAACTTACAAATTAAAATAGCAGCTCCTTTGTTGGATACAAGCCTAATTGTGCACCACCATTGTATGGTTGAAATCAAATAATGAGTAAAGTCTTTCATTTTGAAATAGGATACGTTGATTGTTTGGTCAGAAGCAGAGAATTATGACTTAGCCCTAAGTTTTCAAGAAAAAGCTGGCTGTGATGAGATCTGGGAAAAAATTTGTCAGGTAAGGTTTAAATTCTTACGCTATGTCAGTTCAAATGAGACATTGTATAAATCCCACTTCAGAGAGACTAGTACTCCATTTACTTTTAACAGTTTGTAAGCAGCACTATGTGCATAATTTCTGGAGACTATAGCACTGATATATTCTTTAGTGTCATGGCTTGTTCAGTGGGTAATCGGGTGTTTCTCAGTGGTCTTGCTGTACATTGCAACTAATGCATGTTTGCTGCTACCTGGCATGTATATGTATGATATTCAAGCAACGTGTGTATAAGGTACAGTTCTATACATAGACAAAAAAGTTTTGTCTGCACCTATACCAAAATGTTTGTAATATGTTTTCAGTTTCATTTAGCTCCTAATGTGTGTGTATTGTTTCCTTGTCCAGCAAAGCACTTTTGTGTCTAATGTGAGGTGCACCACAGTCTGTATGTGGCTGTCCTGAATGGCTGGGATTTGATAGCACTTTTGTCCCAAAGGGCCAGTGACACATATTCAGGGAAGTTGTTCATATTCACAGCTCTGATGAGCAATGGGAAAGTTCCTCTTTTCCCACAGTATCCATATTTGCCATGAAAGTAGAATTTGAATTTGGTGCAATCCCATTTTGATCCAGGTCAGGTTACAGAACGCCAGAAATCTATTCACATGTTCAAATGTATGTGTATGCATGCTGATTAGACAGTTGGTTTTATACAGTCACCAGTATATGTTTCAGAATGAGTCAGCAATTGTTCATCTTTCCATTTTTAGGTTCAAGGTAAAGATCCTTCAGTGGAAGTCACACAGGACCTCATTGATGAATCTGAAGAAGAACGCTTTGAGGACATGCCTGAAACTAGTCATCTGATTGATCTGCCTACTTGTGAGCTCAACAAACTTGAAGAGATCGCTGATCTAGTTACCTCAGTTCTCTCATCACCCATCCGTAGAGAAAAGTTAGCCTTGGCTTTGGAAAATGAAGGCTACATTAAAAAATTGCTGCAGCTTTTCCAGCTTTGTGAGAACCTAGAAAATACCGAAGGCTTACATCATTTGTATGAAATTATTCGAGGAATTTTGTTCCTCAATAAAGCAACTCTTTTTGAGGTGATGTTTTCAGATGAGTGCATTATGGATGTTGTGGGATGCCTTGAATATGACCCTGCATTAGCTCAGCCAAAAAGGCACAGGGAATTCTTGACCAAAACAGCAAAGTTTAAAGAGGTCATACCTATCACAGACTCTGAACTAAGGCAAAAGATTCATCAGACTTACAGGGTACAGTACATTCAGGACATCATCTTGCCAACGCCATCTGTGTTTGAAGAGAATTTTCTTTCTACCCTTACTTCCTTCATTTTCTTTAATAAAGTTGAGATTGTCAGTATGCTACAGGTAAGTGAAAGTAGACTTGGGAAGGATTTACACCTTGAGGCCACCATGAATTATTGAGAGGTTAACAATTATATGTATTTTCCCCTCATGTTGTTTTCTTGTACGTAACACTAAACCTTTTCACTTCATTTTGATACTTTCCCCTAACTTTTTGCTGTATTATCTTGGATATTTCACAGATCTAGTGCATTTGGCTTGAACCAGACATGTTATACCAACTCTCTCTCTCTCTCTCTTTCTCTCTCTCTCTCTCTCTCTCTCTCTCAGTGACATAAAAGGGTGGGTGGCTTTCAGCAGTGCCCTTACTCATGGCAGATAGCAGTTTTTGTTTGTTCGCAAGCAGCTCTGTTGTATGTCCCACAGAAAGCAAAAGGTAGTATAAATGGTGACGCTAACAAATGCAATACTTAGTTTTCCTTCACCTACAAACAGCAATCTGTGAATGTGTTTGGATATTGTATATAAGGCTGTATGGGAAGGACATGGCTGTTCACTTTTGCTCTTTTGTAACATTTAAAATTCTCTGGAAAATAATGCAGTGATTATATAGAAATCAAGTTCAGAAGCTAAATCACAGATGATATACACCATCAAGTCTACTGAAGATTTCTTTTAATATGTATTGCAATAATGGAACCTCTAAATACAAAAGATTAAAAGGTAGTAGAATAGAATAGCCTTTTTCATTATTAGAGGCTTCTGTAAACATACACATTTTTATGTTGTATTGAGATAATTTCCGGAATTTATGCAAGAGAGCTGAGTGTAATAATCCTCATTCTCCTCTCATTTATCCTCACAACAATCCTGTCAAGTAGATTAGGTTGAGAGAGTGTGACCAGCCCAAGATCACCCAGTGAGCTTCCATGGCACAAGTGGGGATTCGAACCTGGGTCTCCCAGATACTAATCTGACATTCTAACCACTACATTAGGCTGGCTTTGTTCTTGGCTTGAAGAGTATATTGTCAGGCTGCAGGGGTCTGGATTTGACTGGGCTCCAGAATTTTTGAGCTGTAAATCTTGTGGCTTTTTTTGGTAGTTCTGCAGCCACTATGTAGCAGTCCATGTCCAGTGATTTATAGGCCAAGGTGGCTGAAGACGCCAGAGCAGTATTTCAGTTGTGCTGAAGGCAAGTTACTGTGATGTAGCTTTTGAAGGACTGCTTGTGACTGTGGCAGTGGCAAACAGTGTGTTGTTCAGTGGAGCTGCCGTGCCTAATGAAGAGCCTGACAAATCTGAGCTTGTAGTCCTAAAATGATTGTGGTGAATTTTCTATTGGTTATTTATTTATTTACAGAGAAAACTAAATGCTGCTGCCTGGTTGGAAAGGGCCCTTGAAGTGGCAACACGCTTCCAGATTGCAGGGATCAGTGGAGTGGGGCTATTTCCCAGTAGTTAGAGCATCCACTTTGCATGTGGAAGGATCCTGCATTTACTTCCTGGCATCTCCAGTTGAAGGGATTAGATAGTGAAAACTTTACACCTAAGACCCTGGAGAGCTGCTGCCTGTCAGAGTAGACTTTGCTGACTTTGAGAGGTCACTGACCTGATGCAGTGCAAAGCAGATTCATTCAAGAAGGGGTTGCAAAGGACAAGTTGTCAGCTGGACTCATGCCCATCCTGGTTGGATGAACCTAGCCAGGAGAAGTTGTCAGCAGCCAAAGCCTAGAGAGTCACAGAAGACATGCTCTGCTGAATCCTTTGAGCTCTGCTATTTTGACACCACTGATGAAATGTCGATGAAGTGACTCTGTGACCTGGCAGATTCTTAATTCATGTTGCACTTCTCTGGAGTGTTCATACTTGGCAAGAAGGTCCTTCCTGGCATCATCACCTCCCTGGGATCTCCTCTTGGCATCCTGTTGTGTGAGATTTGAAGTAAAGTGTCATCAGTTTGTCGATGACACTGAACTATGTCTTTCCATTTATTTTTTCTCTTTCATCTCAGGTTCCTTCTGTATTGCTTTTCTGGTGTCTTACTGTAATGATAGATTGAATGTGAGCAAATTGATTGAAGCCAGTTCCAACAAAGACTGAAGGAATAATGGTTGTTGACCATTGTGACTTGTGGAGATTGGAACACCCATCACTGATAAAGCTAAGCCTCCTTTTGTCTCCTGGATATTTCTGCTGTACCTTGAACTTTGGGTGGTAGTAATGGCCAAGAGTGCCTCGAAGCCAGTTTCACTGGTGAAAAAGCTGCTAGAATATTTTTCAGTTTAGACCATTCAAGCCTCACTTGTGCCGTTAAAGTGAGGCCACTGCTGCATGGAATTTTTCAGGTTTTGTCTGTTAAGGTACAGGTAATGCAGAATGTGCTCGTTTACCACCTCACCAAAAAAGGTCATGAAAAGTATAATCTTCACTGCTTCCTGGTTACTACCTAGACATGATAAATATTCCTTATTAAAACTTTAGAATATTATTCTTGCAGGTATAAGAATACTTGTTCCACCTACATCCTGTTAGAATTTTGTAGATTGTCCAAGCTCCATCGTGGCTGTGTGTCAAGTCCATATATAAGGATGTACAGAAAGGACTTTTGATGGGTTTTCCGTAATTATAGAGCTCTTTC